ACCATTTTTAATCACCATCTTGTCCCCATTGTTGAAGTGAATCAGTTTAATCACCCTAATTTAACCCAGAGAGACTGTGTGCAGCAGTCAGTCTCAACTGGACTAAGGAATCATCTAACGTTGGGTGGTGGTTATGCCTTGGATATCTAATTACATGATTGCAAAAAGGCAAAAGTGAGCTTTCATGTGTGTCCACTTCACAGATTAGGCCGCAAATTACCTGGATCAAGTCTGTGACAGAATGGAACTGTTAAGCCCTGTTTGCATGTCATGTGATCTCCCAGACAGATAAGGGAAATAAAGTAATCTAGTAAACCATTTAGCTGGAATAGGTAAGATTTCTCACATGCATAGTACTCTAAAGGCAAGTTGAGCAATAAAAGATCAAATAGGTTAAGAAGAAAAATCTATTGTTGGAGTTTGGAAGGAAAATATGGTCGTTGGCAAATTAAGCTGGATCTATCATCTATCTGTCTGTCTGTTTATCTATCCGTTCATTATCCAAGAAGCAAAATGTCTTTGAAGAAAAAAGCAAGGAAATCCAGTTGCCTACTAAAAAAAACACCTTTGGGACAACCATGACCTGGATGACTGATAATCTCCATAGACATTCAAATGCAGTGGCAGGAACAGGGAAACACTTTCTGTATATTTGCTTAAGCTAAGTGCCACATTTACAACTAGTTTTGTAGGACCAAACAGAAATTAAGATGTTCATAAATACCAGGTGAGAAATAGAGGACAACTCCACAGAAAAGCAGAGCAGCAACTAAAGCAGAATGAAGAACTAATGAGAATTTCTTTCTGGACAAGGAGAAGACTTCAGATTGCCTACAAGTGCTCCAGATAGTTGTACCTTGTGAGAACATACAAAAGAAATCAGTTGCTGTCTTAATAATTAAAAGAGATTTACAAATAACAAATCAACCTGTACAATCTTCCTATATTGGATTTACAAAAGAGGCGTATTAAAGATTTGAAGAATTTTATGAGGAGGAACAAAGAAAAAACGAAAAGAAATCAAGTTCTAAGATTATTTGAAGGATGAAATATTAAGATTGTAAGAAGTAAAGGGACAGAATATAAAGTTGGTTTATTTGATCAAGGTTAAAATAGATATCCTGTTATTTCTGGTAATCTTTAATGGTATTTTGCCAACTTCTTAGACCAAGATGATGGGTTTTTAAAGATTTGCTTACAGATAAAGAGATGGGATAGAAAAAGAGATCATTTGTAGGATTGAAACAGAAAGTAATGTTACAAAATTGTTTATACTTGTGATAGGGGGAAATCATTCCTTTTGTATTTCTTTTATATATTTCTCTTTTTCTTTACTATTTTTCTTTCATTTTTCTTTTATTTCTATTCTTTTTTTTTTAGTTTGTATGAGTTTCTACTGCTGCAATTGTAATTTTTAGTAAAATTACTATTAAAAGTATGTTCTGATATTTGATGGTATGAATAAAGATAAATTTGATTGACAAGCAGGTGCACATGCTGAAGTTTGGATGGATGGACTCTGAAAATCAGCTCACAAAAGTGTCTGAGAAAGTTCATTGTTACCGGAATAACACCCAAACTGGTCCCCAAGCACCTTATAGTTCTCCAAGGTCAGATGCTGACGAGCCTTAAAGTCATCCAAGATCAAGCAGTTTAGGAAAAGATTCTGCTACACAGCAGGAAACTGAAAGACCCCAACTTTGTTTTTCTAACTTACAGATATTTATACAAGTTGTCTTCAACGTACAATCACAATCGTGCCCACAATTTCTGTTGCTAAGCAAGACAATTGTGAATCTTGCCCCATTTTATGACCTTTCTTGCCACAGTTGTTAAGTCAATCACTGCAGTTTGTTGATTTAGTAAGACGTTTTTTAAATAAATCTAACTTCCCCATTGATTTTGCTTGTCAGAAAGTTGCAAAAGGTGATCATGACCCCAGGGCTGCAACTGTCATAAATATGAGTCAATTGCCAGGTGATTGAATTTTGATCATGTGACCATGGAGATGCTGCAACATTTCTTAAGTGTGAAAAATGATCATATATCACTTTTTTCAGTACCACTGTAACTTCAAATGGTCACTAAATGAACTGTTGTTAAGTCGAGGACTATCACCCAGCTGGCTTTTTGCTTAAGGCAGGACTTGTGGTCTCCTAATTTCTAACCTGATACCTTAAGCATTACAGCAAACTGGCTGTTTATTAGTTATTCCCTCCAATTTTAGTCAATTGTAAATTGTAGCAGCTTTCTCCCACCTGGTTATCCAAGTCATTAAAAATATGAAAAACAGGTCCCAGGACTGATCCTTGTAGAAGTCTACTTGATGCTTCTGTCCAATTTGATAACAAACCATTGATTAGCATTCTTTGAGTATTCATGGGTTTACAAAGCACCTACTGATATATATATGCTTGTTATGGCATCCCGCAAATATTTAACTAGCTTGCTAATTAGCATGACATGGAATACTTCATCAAATGTTTGGTTAGGTGATTACTTCCTAACCTTGTTCTGGTGAATAAGTCATAGCAAGCTATGTCTATGCCGTGACACAGTTTGTCTAATTTGGCTTAGCAAACTATATGAATCCAAGCACTGTGGTTTATGACTTAAAGCAGTATGTTAACCCATCCAATTGTAGCTAAGACAACAAAATGTTTTCAGAAGTATGTGGTTTTTCATGTCTGACTTGCATAGATTCTTATCCTATCTAGCTGGAAGTTTCCAGATGGCGATGTTGTGGCCAATCCTGCTTATTTTTTGTGGCCACTGTACTATGGGATTTCTATACTTTTTAATATTAAGATTAAATTTTGTGCTTGGGTTGTACTCTCAAGAAATATCAGGCCAACAGCTTGTAGATATTTTGCAAGTCTACATTACTTCCAAAGATTTTATTCTCAATATACTACCTTAAAAATTATTTTCACTTCAAAATAAAGTCTAACAAACCTTAAGAACCTTTGTTGCCAGAACATCCATTAAAAAATCCACTTCTCATTAGCCACTATGCAATTTATGAATCTTCATTAGATGACACCATCAAGTGTAGGTAGCAAGGCAGGATCTTTATTATGGCAGAATCCTGATTGTGGAATTAATCCCCAAAAGATCAAGATATGCTCAATATCTAGAGATATTTTGTGCTCCCTGATATTATTGAACTACCTAACCAATGTGGCCAATAGTGAAAGAAGGTGAAAGTTGTACTTCTACAATATCTGAAGTTTTCCCAACTGTTCTGCAAAAAGTTTCCTTATTTAGATTATAAAATATTTATATGCACTTGATTTCTCTCACATCATTTTCTATAACTAGAACACTCTTTTGAAGTACAGGGAAGCAATCTTCCTTTTAAACATGTTCTATAGAACCTTAGCTCTACTTGCCACTTATAAGACATAAGTTATATTATCAGCTGATCTATCCAAGCTAGCAAGCTGAGAGTCCAGTTCTACAACATCTTTCCATCAAAGTAATCCTGATAAAGTTAAAGGCACAGATGAATTCGTATTGAAATCAATAGATATAGTTTTATCTATCCAAAACTACAATATACATCTTAACTTTACTGATTTTAAATATATCTATAGGTTTAAACAGAAATGCAAACAAAAGAGATGCAAACTAGATATTTAATTTCCACAACACAGTATAAAAATGCTTTAAATAATCCCAACCTTTAGCTGATTTAAAATAGTAATTTTCTGTTTTTTTCTATCATTGCCCAAAGTAGTCTAACAAAGTCCAACATAAATACCCTGTTTTATATAGTCCTTACTTTTACAAACACAAACATAAATATGTGAACTACACTGTAGTCTATAAATTATAACTTTTTCAGGCAAAGAAACAAGCACTAAATCACAAAGATTTTCCAAGTTAACAGCAAAACCTTTACATGCTATATGTATTCACATGTAACTCCTATTAGTCGATACTGAGTTAGGATGTTTACAAATTCTTTAAATTCCATTTTTAAAAGATCCTATTTAGTCCCACTGACAAACCATACATTAATATATTATCCAATTAGTCCAATACAGGAGGGTCTGGTCTTAAATGTTGATTGCAAAAGTTTCCTGTAAATTAAGCTGTGTTTTGTTACATCACCATCCCAAACACCCTTTGGTTTAATATATTTTTCAAAGAAACAGGTCAGAAACTACACAGCTTAGAAACCAATTTTCCATCTCAAGACTTTTGTTTACTTTAAAAATAACTGTACAAGACACCATAAATATTTCATGCAGTGCAGTATGCCAACGAACAAAACTCACCATCCGAATTACATAAAACCTCAAAGACCATCTTCAATTCGATTCACAAACACATATACACATATTCTTTATAACTGTGAATGTTTTCCTTGCTTATTTAGAACTAAAGACCATGAAACAAGGGAACACGTCAATCAAGCTAGCATTTAATCGCGGGGCGGTTCCGAGAAGTTAAACTCATAAATAGACACTGTTTTTTTCTCTCCATACACAAACAAAGTGAGGTTTTTTTTTTAACTTTCTTTTCCATAATCTTCACGATCGTCTATCAGACACCCGTCAATGCAACCCTGTAGTGGGAGAGTCTCCGCAGGCAGGCACAGCTCTCGCTCTCTCCCTCGCCTTCTCGTGAAGCTAACTAAAACACCCAGCGTTTCTTTCGGTCAGGCAGAAATAAGGTCGTGCTGGTGAAGCCAATGCCCGTTCTCCCCTTAACCTAAAAGAGCAAGAAAGAGAAAGCCCCGAAAAGGCCCCATCCTTTCTCCAAACAGGAAAGCTGGGAGGTTGGCGGGGGCGGTTCTCCTTGGCAGCTTCTCCCGGCACGCATCCACTCCACTTGGCAAGTCAGACCATCTTCGCTAGACACAAAACCGGAGCCCCCCGACTTCAGGGCGATGCCTATTCACCACCACCACCCCATCTCCAGCGGCCCACGATCTCGGATTCTCCCTCCGGGCGCGCATGCACGCTTGGCTATCTTTACTTTCCTCCCCTTACCATTGCAGAACTGCAGAAGCGAAGAAGTGTCATAGAGGCTGCTGTAGCTGGAGAATCCGTCCTCCATCATCCCGAAGCCAATTTCGCGCCCCTCTTCGGCCCGTTTGGGATCCTCGCCCCCGCCAGCCCTAGTCCAAATCGCTCCTTCCAGCCTCTCTTCCCTCCTTTTTGCCACCCGCTCTGGTCAAACTCGGGCTGCTCTTCTGCTCTTTCGGTCGCTCAGTACTCTCACCCACACAGTGCAAAAGCGAAGGAAAAGCTGAGGCGGCTGGGGCTGGGGCCGGCCTGCCTCCTGCCTCTGCCAGTTGCCATGACAACGCATTCACTCCACCGTGGCTTGGGCCGCCGCCGCCGCTTCTCTCCTCTGCTGGAAGAGGAGGGGGGAGAATGGGGCTGCCTCTCCGGTTCTTGGGGGGGTGGGGGGGAGAGTTAGGCATAATACTGTAAAAGTCGCCTGTTGTCTACAGAGCTAAGTTGTGAACGGCTACGTTACTCTTCGCGATTTGCAAGAAAATAGGGACCACATTTCCCCTACCCTGCCGTTGAATGGGAGGCGAGCGGGCTGCCTTTCGTTCCAAATGTAGGTTGCCATCCATTTCTTTCCGAAGGCAAGCCCGTTGTTCCGCACGATGGGAGCTGAATTGCACCCTTGGAAGGGCGATTGCATATCTGGGACTTCCTAGGGAGATAAAGAGGTTACCTCACCAGCACCCAGCCTTTAATCACGCTTCCAACCTTGACACCATAGCACGGCTAAGAGATTTGGAACATGCAACTATCCGAAGGCTGTTCGATCCACAAATAGGGCGCGCTTTTAAGGAGACCCCTTCTGTAAGGACAAGGGTCAAAATAGCCGCCGCAAAGTTTTAAAAAGAGGGAATGTGTGGGAGATTCTCTGGAATGGGCGCTTTCCTGCTCCCTCTCCCCAAGTGAAACAGTTAACAAAAAAAACAGGCAATTCCTGGGACACGAAGTACAGCAGGGCTGCTTGCATGCACGTGCTGCAGCGCAGAAAATGCTGTCAGAGATTCCATCTAAATATGAAAGCGTAATTAGAAAAAACGTGGCTCCCAAGCATGTGCAGAATGCCTTTCCCAGCCAGCACTGATCAGGAATTACTGCTTCCCTATTGAGAAAAACCATAAATTCCAAGTCTTCAACCCTGACACATCCTTTTGTACAGTGATCTTCCTGATAAGAAACAGAAACAACCTTTCCGGTTTTTAGCGACTGCAAACGACGCCCTTCTCAGCCTGCAGCTCTCTGCCCCGCCCAGTCGTGGGAAGGGTGTTCCTGCCAGCCCCTCCCCCGCCTTCAAAATAAGGATTCGGGAACGAGAAGACTGAACAAATGGGAAAGAAATTTGGCGATTATTTGCGGAAGGTCCGGGAAACCGCGGGAGGCCCAGAGAGAAAGTGAAAGGAGAAAGAAAAGAAAAAAAGATTCTGGAGGAAAAAAAAATCTGGCAAAACCGCGAGATTACCGAGGGCGAAGCGATGCAATCAATCAATAAACATTATTGGAGGAAAAGCAGTCATTTCTGATGGTGGTCGAAGAGCAGATTACGTTGCCTGTTGCTTCTGGAAATCTGGGAGGTGCTGGGCATTTTTTTTTTCTTGAAATGCTTCTGAAACCGGCTCTTAACTTAAGATTCTGTTCTAGTTTTCCCCTCCATCCCAGAAAGTCTGAAATAATTAAAAGGGCCTTACTATTAAAGAAGTGGGCCTCAACTTGCAAATCATACTGTGCAAAAGTAAATGCTTTTACTTAGCAGAGTAATTGGCCTTACTCATAAATGCTCGTACCTAGTACTGTATTGCAACTTTAATAGATGCTAAAAAAGGAAATCTGTAATTAGTGACATGAAGAGCTGGAGGAAATCCAAAATTATTTTAAAACTACTTTACCGATAAAAAGTTCTAACTAGAGTATTAGAATACACATGATCGTCCATACGGAGTACTTAATTTTTTTCAGATTTTGAAACATCCTGATGTACATAACATGCAAAAAATCAAGAATTGTACATATATATGTGTGTGTGTGTGTGTGTGTGTGTGTGTGTTCAGCTTTGTTCGGGTATTTTCCCACGTCATTGTAGTTGTGCTTTTAAAGTTGTAGCAACGTTTCGGCAGAATCTCATCTGCCATCATCAGGCTTCTGTATTGTGTTCATCTGTGGTAAGTACCCGCGAAAATTTAAGAAAATATATTACATACACACACACACATATACATATACATACATACACAATTTAATGGGATATTCGTCGAACACAATACTGATATTGAACACAATACACAAGCCTGATGATGGCAGATGAGATTCTGCCGAAACGTTGCTACAACTTTAAACTTTAAAAACTTTACAACTTTAAAAGCACAACTTTACAACTTTAAAAGCACAACTATAATGACGTGGGAAAATACCCGAACAAAGCTGAATACCATACATGTAAGTACCCGCGAAAACTTAAGAATATATATATATATGCAATTTGTTTTTGTAGATTTTCACGATTTTTACCTCTATGGGGAGGAAACCTGGCTAACCAGGACTTACGAGAAACTCAAAGTCCGAAGAGCCACCAACTTGTGTGATCTCACATTCCTACGCAATTGCCAAAATAAAAATGTGATCCCCACATGCTTCCAACTCAAATTCCATTCCAAAACTTCAGCCACTGAAAGGATCCTGAAAACGATGGAATTAGCCCTAATCAGAAACGAACTCCACAAAAACAGATTCCTACGAGACCAAACCAAGAGACCTACTCACACTCCATCTCAAACTCAGCAACAAAATCCACCCAGCACTCTGGGACAAATCCAAACAACTAGCCTTCTGGAGAGCCGAAACAGAAACCTCCCACAAGACAGACACACACACACCAGGAAACTCCACAGACTAGAGAAACGCCAGAAACCCAACCCTTCCCTACAACAACACATGAAACAAACAGTACACAACATATCAGACAGAACCCTCACCATAGCAGAAACCAATGTCCTTTCCAAAGGATTCAACTTTGCAGTCGCCCCCAAATGCATCCCCACTGAAAACATATGTGGAGTTGAAGCTAGCCTAACCAAAATCAACCCAGATGCAGCCAACAAAATCAGACTTGAAGTCACCAATGTCCTCTGCTCCAGCAACCCACCCAGAAGCAACCTACACAGAGAAGAACAAAAAGCACTCACCAACCTGAGGAAAGACAGCAACATAGTCATTCTCCCAGCAGACAAACGCAACACCACAGTCTAATGAACACATTGGACTATCACTCCAAACTATCCAACGTACTCCAAGACCCTGCTTACAAACCTCTGAATACTGACCCCACCACCTACCTAGAAAAAAACACCAAATCCAAAATAAAAGCATCTCCCATCAGTGAAGAGATCCAGCAGAGAATCATCGCCAGAGAAAAATCATCCAGATGCCCTAAGCTCTATGGCCTCCCCAAGAGACACAAAGAAGGAATACCACTCAGACCCATAGTCAGCTCCGTAGGCTCACCTCTACAGAATCTTGCCAAATTTCTCGCCAAACAACTCCAGCCCTACACAGAATCCATCACCTCACACATACAAAACTCCTTCCACTTCATAGAAACAATAAAGAAACAAAACCTACAATCCAGCAACCTACTCGTGAGCTTCGATGTCATCTCCCTCTTCACCCAAGTACCCATCAAAGAAGCCTTGACAGCCATCCAAAACAAATACAACCCCCCCAAACACATCCTAGATCTGACCAACCACTGCCTAACCAACACATACTTCATCCACAATGGACAAAGATACAAACAGATAGAAGGAGCACCCATGGGGTCACCCCTCTCACCCGTCATCGCTAATCTATACATGGAACACTTTGAAATCAATGCTCTAGACAAATCCGAACCCAAACCCAAACTCTGGCTCAGATATGTAGATGACACTTTCGTAATTTGGCCACACAGGAAAGAAAAACTGGACAACTTCCTCACACATTTTAACAACCTACACCCCAAAATACAATTCACCATGGAAACAGAAACCAACAACTAATTTCCCTTCCTGAATGTCCTAATTTACAAAAAACCCAATGGCTCCCTAGGACACACCATCTACTGAAAAAAACCACACACCAACCGCTACCTAAATGCACAATCCCATCATCACCCTGCACAGATCAACTCCATAGCCAAGACCCACATCTCCAGAACCAAATGCCTAGCTGACAAAGACCACCTGAGAACAGAACTACACACCCTCACTAACGTATTAATTTCCAACGGATTCCAAAGAAACACAATTACCAACCTAATCCGAAGAGAGATACCCCCAAAAAACCAAGACACAGAACAAGACAACGGTATCGCACTCCTCCCCTACATCAAAGGAACCACAGACAAAATCAGCAAAATTCTCCACAAACACAATATCAGGACAGCCTTTGGCACTGACCAAGAAATAGCCAACATCCTAAGAAACCCCAAAGACAAGATCCAGCTAGAAAACCAAGGAGTTTATGAAATGCCTTGCAACAATTGCCCAGCCACATACATTGGACAAATCAACAGGAGAATAAGTGCATGCATCGCAAAACACAAAAACGCAGTCAGAAGAAAAGAAAATACTTCCTCCCTCTTCCAGCACCTTAAAGCCACAGGACATGAAATTAATTTCGAAGGAACCAAATTAATATCCAACACTGAACACTCCAGCAAGAGAATAATCAGGGAAGCCATCGAGATAAACACCCCCATAACATGAATAGATGGGACAATACCTCCCGCCTACCAGACATCTGGAAGCTAGCCCTCACTAACAAACGAAAACCAACACCAGCCCCAAAGCAACACGGGACATCACCGCCAATCCCCCTCATCAGACCCAGGCCCAAGCCCATCCTATAAATGAAGGACAACCACCATCCAGAAAACAGACCATGACTGCTTCGCCAGCTGTCCCACCCCCCCGACTCCAAAACCAAACAAGTTGACACACGCCAAGAACACAGACCCAGATCCCAAACTCGAAGCCAGACTAAAACCCAAAATGCTACATCACACAGCCACCTGCTCAGGATATCACATCAGAAAACTCAAGAAATTACACCACAAGAACTCAAGAAGTTGCAATATAGCAAATGACCCAGGATATCACAGCACAAGACCAAGGATACCACAGCAATAAATCTCACAAGGTCATCACACAACCCATTACCCAAGCCATTACTACACAGGAGGC